TCAAGTGAATTAAACTTCACCCCATTGCACAAGCAAGTGGCTATCAGGACTCAGTAGCTAAGTGGATAACGCGATGGCGTTTGAAGCGGACGGTACTGGGTTCGAGTCCCGGAGTGAACATCAACTCTGAGATGCAGGTACATCCAGCTGACGAGTCCCAAATAGGACGAAACGCGCGTCCTGGATTCCACTGCTAGCCACTATCATCCACCTTTGCTTATAATGCTTGTAAATTAAGGCAATATCGAGGCATACGCACAGTATGCACATATGCCAATAAGAGACTGAACAATTTCAGTCCTAAACATCAATGGGAAGATTCAAACAAATGAAAAACAAAAACAATATCAAGTGAATTAAACTTCACCCCATTGCACAAGCAAGTGGCTATCAGGACTCAGTAGCTAAGTGGATAACGCGATGGCGTTTGAAGCGGACGGTACTGGGTTCGAGTCCCGGAGTGAACATCAACTCTGAGATGCAGGTACATCCAGCTGACGAGTCCCAAATAGGACGAAACGCGCGTCCTGGATTCCACTGCTAGCCACTATCATCCACCTTTGCTTATAATGCTTGTAAATTAAGGCAATATCGAGGCATACGCACAGTATGCACATATGCCAATAAGAGACTGAACAATTTCAGTCCTAAACATCAATGGGAAGATTCAAACAAATGAAAAACAAAAACAATATCAAGTGAATTAAACTTCACCCCATTGCACAAGCAAGTGGCTATCAGGACTCAGTAGCTAAGTGGATAACGCGATGGCGTTTGAAGCGGAATCCATTTCCAAACAATTTGGCCACTGTAGTTAATCATATCACGATTTGCGCAGATTAGGCTACAGAGGTATAATTGGCTGTCTATTACTGTCTGTTCATCATCGTTGTGAAAAAGACGTCCTTAGATGCAGTCGCTTTGTTGGTCATTGAGTTATGTGTCTTTATTTAGAAGATATTAAGTATAACCATGAGTAATTGTAGTGGTTGTGTTTGTGTGCCGATGTATTGGACATGAAGTTGCGTATTTTACAGAATCTCATTAATAGGGAGAAGCAAACAGTGAAGCATTATCCGAAACGACTATGTTCAGAGTACTATAATGGCAGTAGAGGAATTTATAGTATAAGTCATTAGGACTACTGTATGCCAATTTTAGTTCTATGAACTACCATCATATACATAATGCTGGTAACTAGGGCGCGAAGTTGTTACAAATGAGTTAGCACGGCTGGTTTCGTTGCTTGCAGAATAGATGTGTTTTTTTAGTATGTTTAGCAGCTTAACGATATCAACATCACTTTCCAACTAGATCCGTGATTTGCCGGTCTACCTTCGGCCAGTTTACATAAATTCCTATTACTTTTCGTCGCCTTAGTCCCAGAATCTCCAGTATGAACTAACGTACAGAAGAACGGAAAGATAGATTTACTAGACAATTTGAAGACAACAGGCATAAGTCTATGACAGAAGAATTACCTCTCAGTTGATAATAGTTGGGTAATTAGCATTTTGGTAGTTCTGCTGACCATTAGTGGTTAATATATTTGATTAATTTTTGCAATAGCTAATTATGTCTTGGCTCGTTTTGATATCTGTAACATTTGCTAGTGTGGCTCAAACAGGAAATTTTACATCTCTGAATTAAATGAGCTCTGCAACAACCATTTCTTCTTCAGGCATGAGCGACAGCACATCCACTTGATTGAAATCCTGGACATGTCGACAGTGAATCTCAAAGATACAATTTAATAGGAAGGTAATCGCCTTGTTGAGTAAACTAGGATTCCTGTCTTGGAGCCCACGAAGTGTCTGGCACATATTACTTTATGAAGCTATTTATTGCAAAAGCTAGAGTTAGTGTTTTTTTTTTATTTCTCCATAACTTTCTCGGCAGTAGCTAGTACACGGAAGGCATGCAGTGTGAAATCAGAGTAGTAAAGCCTTCGCCCAGAGAGCCGATTGCGATGATCACTCGATGCGCATCAAAGATAGCTTAGAAATGAGTAATTTTTTATGGTTACTGAATAGCATGCGTTGATTCTGATGGCCAGTTAGTCAATCACACGCAACGCAGAACCTGACACGTATATACACCGGCTCAAGTTGTCATACAATAGCACAACCAGAAATATTTCAAGAAAAATCACAGAATAGCAGTTAAAAAGATTGTGTATAAAAACAATAAAAAAAATATATTAGGACATTCTGAGATTTAAGTTTTAAGAAACACGAAGGGCGAATGAACATGTGCCATTTGGAACGATTTTGACACACATCATTCAAAATCTTCAACCATTGGTTACGATGATCACGCGGACCTCAACCAGGTAGTCTACAACTATTAACAGGGCTAAGTTCCATTGTCAATGACTTCATGGACTGATACCATGTTTTGATTTGGCCGCTTCTAACTTCCCTTCAGCCTCTTTTACACCAGAAAACATCACCCGTCGAGGTAGGTGGAGGTTGGGTATACGTAACACATGTCCCAAACACCTCAGTAGATGTCGATCTCCTATCTCCTAAATCGACTTCCATCTTTACCTAGTACCCTATTCCTAACCCAGGCATTGCTTACTTCGTGGTCACAAAATACACGAGCAATACTTCGAAGACACTTATGATCGAATACCAGTAAACTACGAATATCCTTTACCCCTAATGACCATGTTTTCCACTCATAATGTGGGACAGAGGGAATTACTGCGCAGTAAACTCGTCCTTTAATTGGGAAGTGAATATCTCACCTAAACGACAAGTGGTGCAAGTTGTCAAAAGCCATTCGAGACGTCTGAATCAGTGCCGAAATTTCTTCAGAAACCAGAATATCACGATTGATCAGACTCTCAAAACAGGTGAAGCGGTAGACGCACTCAACCCCTTTATTCCCTATCATTAATTCAGATGATGAATTAAGTCAGTCCTGAAGCAACATTTCGCGTCCCTTATTTGCTAGTATTGTTGCTCAGTACGATTAGAAGACTCTGGGTTTTGTCAGCGACTTCATTAAACGGTACTGTCACTTCAGTATTCTAGATCATCAAGTAAAACTAGCATCTCTAAAAAAACTTTCTGTGACAAAATTAAGTGAAAATGAAGAGAGTGGAAAACTGATAAATACCACTTGAGATTGAGAATCTTGATGATAGTTCACTAAAAGCTCTAACTTGACCAGCAGTGTCCGAGTAGAGCCTATACAAGTTTAATATACTTCTTTGGTACGCATTGCAATGACGGAGAGTGCCACAGAACCTCTCAAACAACAGAGTCAAACAGTGCTTTAAGGTTGAGAAATACAACTACAGTCAGACGGCAAAAATTATGTATGTTTTAAAACCTCATGAAGGCAGAACATTTGATTAATAAATTTACGTCCAGATCTGAAATTAAATTGGCTTTTACGAGTTCGCTCTTTACGACCCCTAGCTAAGTTTTGGATTACTATTGAAGCTAATATTTAAGATGTTATGTTATTCAAACTTACTCTTCCATAGTTATCACAAAAGGATTTGTCTTTTTATAAAAACTGGAATGATCAGCGATCAAGACCAGTTAGGTGAGATTGGATCCAATATCGAGATTCTAGCTAAGATCTCAGTGAGTCTAACTACTAAAAATGAATCAACAGCCTCAAAGATTTTCTAGGGCTAATTTATCTGAACCTGCTACTTTCTCTTGTTTTAGATTGCCGACAGCTATTTCAACTTGATGACTAGTGCAACTTGACACACCTTTTGGGGGTCCACTTTACAGAGTACGTCCATTATGAACAGCAAGAAGAAAAGAGCTATACTGAGTTATAATTCCAACGACTCCTCGCAAAGAGGTATATCACTTGAAGCCCTTATTCGTCAAAAATAAGACCAAAATATTTTATCAAAAGTAGAAATAATTGGCATTTTGTAGGGCGTAGTCAGAACCCAGATTCCCTAATATGCCCAAGCACCTCTAAAATCCTTTATATCGGTTTAGTCGAAAGACGTTTAGTCATATTGGAATAGTCCCTTCTGTATGATGATGATACGGAGCTCGTAGTTTTTTAGCGACACTCCCACCCGTAAATATGCTTTGGTGAAGTCCGATTTTGAAAATGTTTACCATTACCGAGCATAGTAAAGATTTCTTCTGATACATGTAGAGGAAAATGAATCTCTAAAGTAGTATTTATTGCTGTTGAAAAGTCAGCAAATGAAATTCACAAGTCGATTTTTCCAACAGGTAGTTACAAATTCTCTACAAACAAAATTCGTTAGTTAGATTTATTTGTCGATTAATAAGAAACCGTGTTAAGTATAATACACATTTATATCCCCTTTAAATAAACAGTCCCATACAATTCGCTTGCAAAATCATATTTGTGCTAGTTTTCTATCATTAAGCTTACAATAAAGACTGTCTTGTGTATAAAATAAATGAATATTTTCAACTTAAGAATCATTGGAACAATATAGTTCATGAACAAGCCAAATTAATATTGTACAGTGGAAACGACAAGAGTCATCTCGTAAGATCATGCTAAAAACGGTTGACTAGACTTAAGCAGTGGATAAGCAAATGGTGAGAGTGAAAACTAACAATACGAAAAAGCAAAAACAAACAAGTTGCTAGGTTCCTTTATGGCATACCAAAAAACTAAGCAATATTTGGATCCACTGCTTAGGAACATGGGTATATTTATTAATTGTCTGAGCTACGAGTAATGTGCAAGAAATGAAATTCCATAACATTGACAATATCGCAACTCATTTTGATCGCTAAACTGACAAATTACAATGAAACCAAGATTTATAAACCACATGATGTAGACATACAGTCTACAAAAGATTGCTATTATACAACGAAATTTTTCAAACTTGTTTAAAGAAACTAATTTATTCTTTACAGTGACAAGACTAAGAAATTTTATTGAAAGGACAAGGAAAATTTTGAAAAGTAATGTCATATATTAGTAAAGGACAGAAAAATCACCTGAATGTGGGAAAATAATTAACTCACTTTCATGAACACTTTTCACATGAGCTTTTAGAAGGAAACCTTTAGCATAAGTTTTGCCGCAAAAGTTACACTGAAAACGACGTAAACCTGAAATGTATGTATATACACAATAAGAAGTATATTTCAGAATAAATTCTCTTCAGATGAAGTGTTTTAATTTAGAAAAGCAAGTTTCAAGTGACGAAAGTTATAAATCAGGTATCCTTACATAATAAATGAATTTTTTATATCTATAATACAGAATTGATGTTAATTATCAATCCTCAAAAAGGTGATACAATAATGAGAAGCTAACTAGTCTACAAATGTTCAGATATAGAAATCGAAGTGTCTATTTGCACACAGACTATTTCTATCTATTCTATTTCCATATCATATCTAACGAATAAGGATAAAGATAAGTTAAAAAAAAAGATTCCTAATGATAAATGTAAGCAACGAAAACAAAATGCTTAAAATAATAAATCAGGTTTACAACAAGTGAAGGCTATATGTTTAATACAATTTTAGTCTTCTGCAGGGATATCTGTTAATTCAAACAGTGAGTAATGTTGATCTTTTCAGATACACCACACTAGTATGTGTTAATAAAAATGAAACAGATTAGAATTTTCTTGTCAGTTACATTCAAGCACATACGACTTGGACCAGTGATACTATTCGATCGTTTAAACGAACCCAGTAGTTGAAAATCTAGTGCTTCCCCACTAAGTCTTTGCTCCAATTAAAAAAGTATGACATCGTACCCACTAATTAAATAAGCCATAGAGTTATAAACTTATTTCTCCTGAAATTAATAACAAATATACAACTAATGTAGAACAAATAACGGGAACATTGGAATTTCAAGACTGAAAATAAACACAATATGCAGGAACTCGTGGCCAACAGTCGGAGATAAATACCAGTGAATTACAAATCTCATTTTTTGTCGTAAAATATATTTTTTACAAGTCAACAGAAACAATGGTAACATTGCACATATAAAACGTAGGCAGTTAAACATCGTAAGGATGATGGATGAAATTTTAACATTAACTACATAAAGAAAAGTGAACACGATGCCGATAATAATAATAATAATAATAATAATAATAATAATAATAAACAACCCTAACAAAATTCCAAAAGAAAAAAGTCGATAAAATCAATAAAGATAAATATGATCACCCTTATTGTTCTTAAGTGCAATTTATGAATAGACGTACAGACAGGCAGACAGATAGACAAAAAGATAGAGATGAATAGAGACTTAGGCTTATTGGAGAATTTGAAAGAGAAAAGAGTAGTATAAAATAACATAGAAGGATATGAAAAAACATTCACACAAAAAAGATCGATGTCGAAAATTTATTTGATTGGCTTATAAGAATTTGTATTCGAAAATTTAGAGAAATAGATGAATGCAGTTAGCGAAAAATTTTTAAAATAGCACAACAATGTAGGCAAAATGATTTGATGAGAAAAATAGCACAATTAAGTGGTTTTAACTCAGATCTACAGTTGATCAGTTTTGAAATTACCAATTAAATCAAGACTAATGTGAAGTGTAAACCTAAGGGACAATGTGTTACGACACATCAATCGTCACAGATAGACATTATTAATGAAAAAAAACTACAATAAAAATAAATCCAGACATGATATGCTTACAGTCATACATTGACTATTTATTTATATGTTAGGAGTTAGAATTCACTATTGCCTTATAATCAAAAATAAAACTCATTAGTAAGTTTCAATAAAAATATTTGAAGCTCATTTTCCTATGCTTAAAAAGTGGAGAAACGAAATATCTGTAAACGTCAAACAACCCTACATGTTTACATAGTAGCAGCAAGGTTGTTTTAATAGACTATAAAGAAGTTGGGGATTGTTGAAAAATGCCAAAAAAGAGGAACTGATTTACAAATGACGCAACTCAAAATCATTTGCAATGGAGTATGTGCGTACACTTTTGACATAGGGTGTTATCGCTTAGTTCTTGCATCCTTGTAAAGTGAAGTGTTTAGATTGAATACTGCCTGTGGTATGTTTGTTTTCCTAAAATTAAGGTATTGTTAGTACAAATTTATTGGAAAGAACATCCAGTAAAATAGAAGATACGAATGAAAATTTGTAGTCGATTACAAACTGACTTTACTGTTCCTTTTCATCTGTAAAGAATATAATAACAAAATAGTGTGTTGGAAGATAGCTTGTGATTGGGACTGTTGTTATGAAGAACTTAAAATAAAAATAAACTATCTGACATATCAATACTCAAGTCTCACAGTTTCTTCTTTTAGTATTCTTCAACAATCCCCAACTTATTTATAACCTATTAGGACAGCCTTGCTACTACTACTACTGTATGAATACGTGGGTTATCTGACGTTTGTCTTTTGCCAGGTTCTAAAACTCTGAATTCTACACAATTATTATTTTTATTTCACAAATTTATAGTTTCTTGAATCGTATCTTTGATCCCTACTCTTCTCTATTACCTTTAATACCGCTACTACCTTTACTATTCTAGGATTTGGAAAAACTATTACATCTCGCTGTGCTAACGGAGTGTGGCAACTTAAACCAATGTACATACGTATCAGATTCTACGCTACGTTGGACTGACTGATGGGTCTGAAGGCGAAGTCGTGCTGCTGACTGTACAGAGGTGTGACGGCAGTAAGGTGTTTCCTTCAGACAACCAGCATGACAGCGATGCTGCCTTCCCACAAGGGAGGGTGGGTTAGAAAAGGTCGACCCTGAAAATGCACACCTCGCCTTATCCCACGGATATCCGTCTGCGGCGGTAAAGTCTCAACAAGTACGAAGCCAACACAAAAATTACTCATAAAAAGGTCGTGTGTGACCGACCTCAAGCAGCTGTCCCTTGGGCACTGCGGTCACGCTCTCAGGTCACTATGACCAACTCTAATCCAATTTCCTTCTCAGGTACCTCCAGCAGAACCCTTCCACGGTGTGGGTGTCCGGGAAGTGATAACCACTCTCATACCTCTGACAGCATTCAAGACCACTGTATTCATAATCAACCTACCTCTTCAATTCCTATTATTCCTCCTACATCGACTTTCAAATCTAAGCTTCCTCTTTTGGTTTCCTCCTCGAGTGTCACCATAGCCAACGATTCTAGTGCGGAAAACACTGTCCCAGGTCTACTGGAACCTCGCTCCAAACTATACATTGGAGCCTTCAACGTACGCACACTATGCCAAATCGGTCAGCAGGCTTCCTTGGCTAAAACCTTAGAATCTCGTACGATTGATGTATGCTGTGTCTCCGAAACACGCATACAGGATCCTATTGTGGTCATTCACTTGACCTCACCTCGGCAAAACGGAGTGCCAACGAGATACACTCTACGTGTATCTGGCGACCCGATGGCTAGTTCTCGTGGACTTACAGGTGTAGGCATAGCACTAAGCATGAGGGCGGAACAAGCGCTATTAGAGTGGATCCCCGTTAATAGTCGTCTATGAGCTGTTCGGCTAAACGGCGATTCATATTTTCGACCACTTAATAAAAAACTCATCTTAATCCAAAGTTACATAGAAGCTGGTAGTGAAAAAAAGACACATGAAGAATCATCTAATAAACAAACAAACCGTTTAGTTTCTTTTGCAAATATGTTTATTTGCTAGTCAAGAAAAATAATAAGGTTTACATAAATAAAATCGTTTTCACCAAACATTTACTTATTTCGCTATACATGTTGAAATAAATTTGTAATTGCTTCGTCGCTGGATAAGACAATGAAAAGAATTCTCTTACATGCTAATGATATCATCTTTTTGAAGCATCGTATATGCATTTTATATACGGACTAATCATTTGCATACGACAGCATAAATTAAAAGTAGTCTACAGAATAGCAAGAACCATGATGATAATGAACAGCTAACAAAATAAACTGTGTTTCTCTCTAAAGTACATTATTCGCATTCTTGAACAGAGTTATTCATTATGATGGACAAAAACAGCTTCAAACAGAAAAACATGACTATTATTACATAAACACCAATTTAAATACAAACCTTTATAAAAACTTAAAATTTCCATCAAAAAGTAATCGATTCCTTTAGAAAATATATATTGCCATTGTTACTATGCAAGAAAATAATGAGTACTACAGGGTAAACAGAAATGAGTTACGTGGTTATGTACTCGTATCAGAACGAGCATTTCTAGTAGAAGCAGTTAATTATGCCGCATAAACTCAAGTGGATAAACGATTTTGGTCACTCTGACCATTAAATATTTTGTATGGACACGTTAGGTGAGTCTGGCAAACTTTCGGAAATTCCAATGAAACTACAAATCCTTGATAAATGAAGTTGTTTACTAACTGGGATAAAAAAAGACTGTCATCATGAACTATACTAAAACAGTATTGTGTATGGAGAACAAACCACGTAACAAGGTTTTTGATAGTGATATGAATATATCATACCACATCTTAAACTATTTTAAACCAGTCCCATAATATTTACGTCCAAAAAGTAATGAGTTATCATCAGGCACAATGTAAGCGAAATATGACTCCCAAATCTGAGAATTTTTAACCTCTACCACAAAGCAGAAGACACAGGAAATTTGAGCATACAACCCTCAACAGTAAGAAGCCCAGCACAACTCAATATTTTGCAATTTGTCAGCTTATTATGGTCAAAAGATCACCCTAAGGGGAAAAAACTTATATGTGAAAGATGAAGTATGATCTGATTTGTTAATGACATTCTGTATCATCAAAGTAGGGTGATAGATCAAGGAACGTAAAACATAACACGAAAATGCATACCATCATAGGGACTGAAACCAATAATTTTTATAAAATTATGAACTGTTAGCTAGAACAACGCGGCGAAATCGTGTGCATCATTTTTTATATACATTCTCTGGTAACATTATAATAATATTTATATGCTTTGCTGTGAACTATGATCATATTTTGACCTCAAAATTAGGAAAACGGATATAGCTTAGTTAGGTACGCTTAGTTTTACGGAGTTTCCTGAAGTTGGGAAGTATTGGGAGTTAACAAAACGATCAACATCTACTAGAATTTATTTATTACTCATATTAGA